TTTTACACGTAAAAGAGTTTCTACGTTACTATTTTAATTCTCCCATCCCTGTTAAACTGCAAAAAGCAAACGAGATAGTAGTAGGATTTTTTTTAATAACGGACATTGACAACACCGTGTTTACAAATGTCAATCTGATAACTTACGACAAACTGATAAATATTACACGTAAAAAAATCTAATAAATCTGGGCGTTTATCAGTAGTTTTCTGTTAATTAAAACCCAGTTTAAGACCGCTTTCGAAAATTGTCCGCTTTCCAAAAAAGTCCCAACATATTTCCTGAATTTCGTGCAAGCTTCTAGCTACAACGGAGGGCTTGTTCTCATATCTGGTTTGAAAGTAACTCATTTTAAAACCTTTTATTCAGCGTTTTATATCGACGAGAGAATAAAAAGAAAACATCACCGTTCTTTTAGAGAGAAGAAAAACCTTTAATTAAACCTTCAACAACAATAGGCTCCTACCTCCTAATCTAAATGCAACATTTTTTATCCCTTTAATTTTCTTGCACAAATATTTACTTTCGTGTTCAATTTCCGTCGCCAGAAACTTTTCGTTCTTTTTTCTTTTTCGCTGAATAAATCGTGGATTGTACCTTTATTCCAAACCTTCCGTTTATTCTATATATGAAGTTGTGTTTTTAGGTTTGATATAGTTTTCGCTTGTTTGCTCTTCGAAAAGTGTAGGTATACGAAATTGAATTCTATAGCAGGAACAATGAAATGATATATCGTTTTCTGCTACACCTTAAAATTGTATTTATAAACTAGGTAGTGCTTCTATTTTAACTGTGAACTTACTACAGTGTTGTAGAATATTGTTTGGCTTGTATTGTTGATTAAGTTGACTTAAGGTTTATTTTGTTACATTAAAATATTGTTTATTTTCACTATTGTTTGGCATTTATTGTTGCTTAAAATTGTTTAAGCTGGCTTAAGGTGTTTAATTTGTTACATTAAAATATTCTTTATTTTCAGTTAACAGTATCACGTTTTTGCAGCCGGAATAGTACTTAAGAATATGGGAATTCTTCTAAATTTTTATACATGTCTTTAGATGTTTGGTTTATAACTCAAACAGGTAGGAAATTTATTAATAAAGAATTAAAACTATAAATACATAATTATGTTTAAAAAATCAATTTTTGAGCCACCCATAGCAAGAAATTGCTGCTTTCAATATAAATAACTATTGAAAAGTTGTCTGGAAACATTCAAAACAATGTTTTTACTCGTAAAAAAACAGTTTCTAATGTAACAATTTTGGCAACGGCCCAGCTACGTCGAAACACCGGTTCCCATTAGAACACCGAAGTTAAGCGCCGTAAGGCGATACTAGTGGATGGACGGGTGACCGGTTCGAAACTCTGTATTTTGTTGTTGTCCAAAAAAAGGCAAAAGTGTAAAATCTATTGATACACATGTAAATGTTTTAATAATTTTAATTCTCCCATCCCTGATCCAAAAAGCAAATAAGATGGTAGTAGAATTTTTTTCAATAACGCACATTGGCAACACTGTTTAGAAATGTCAATCTGATAACTTATGACGACAAACTGATAAAGATTGGACAAACTGATAAAGATTATTAGAAATTAGACTAATTCCTAATCTCAATGCAACATTTTTCAGTCCCTTAAATTTCTTGCACAAATATTTACTTTCGTGTTCAATTTCCGTCGCCAGAAATTTTTCGTCCTTTTTTCCTTTTCGCTGAATAAATCGTGGATCGTACCTTTATTCCAAAGCTTCTGTTTATTCTATATAGTATATGAAGTTGTGTTTTTAGGTTTGATATAGTTTTTCGGTTGTTTGCTCTTCAGAAAGCGTAGTTATACGAAATTGAATTTTGCTGTACAATATTCTGTAACGTTTTTAGTTCGTTACATGTCTTTTTTATATATAATATATGATGTCTGGCCTATCATCACCGGATTCCCTCTCGTTCAGGCCGGATAGTTATTTGGCACGCTTGGCGTAATTTTTACGTTCCCTAGTCGCCAACCCTGCTATCGTTTCACTGTTCTGTGGAGGCGCGCGCTGTCAAGATCCTTGTTATATGTCAAGGCGCCTCTCCGCGCTTAACCTCACTTTTGCAAATCCTGCTTTTAGAAATGGCAATTTAAATCTTGCTGCAAAATCCGAATCAGCTGCCATTTCGAAGCTACAGGGTAGAGTTTTGGATTGACCCACCTTATCTCGTATTTGTATTTTGCTGACACGTTGGTGTACTTTTGCTGTTGTCCTCCAGAATGTCACATGGAAGAAAGGACATGTTCTTTATTATTTAGTGAGCCCTCGGAAGTAATTCGAGGGTCCAAGGTATGGGCAGGTGTCCCATATCTATGTATTGACTCCTAGCAGTATCCAAGGTACGGACTATTTACAAGGTACGGGCATTATCCAAGGTCCTAGTAGTGTTCCAAGGTGGTGTCCCCATATTGTCACAGTATGGATACAGCGTAAGCCCCATGCTGCTTCGTTCCCATTTCTCAGTCTAGTCAGTAGTTACGGCTGTATCAATTCATGGTGTCCTCACTCTGGCCCCCTTTTGTTGTATTAGATGGCCGAGTACAGAGATGCGAGCCCACCTCACGCTGTTAGTGTTTGAAGCAAGATTACATAAAGAACAGCTAAGTGTAGATTTACGTTCTAGTTTTTATGTTTTAGATTTTCTATATTTTCAGTCTTAAACAGTAACGTACATTTTAAATAATATCGTACAGACTATATTTAGTGGTTAGATTATTAAGAACATTTATGTCGATTTAATAGTTACAATGTGATTTAGATTTTAGGTTTCACTATATTACGCCTTGTAATAGTATTACTTTTTTATAGATATTATTATTGCAGTAACATCATATAAAATATATCAAATTAATTAAAGTAATGCTACATTTCATATATTCTCTTAAACTTTACATGTCTTATATTTTATCATAGTTGTTTTCATAGATATTTAGTACAATTCTTAACACCACTTTCGTTGACATATAACCACTATAATAATTATTAAAATTGTACAATGCTATTTACCATCACAGTCCATCATGAATAAATATAGTCATTAGTTTTAAGTAATATACAACTGTGTTTTCTTTCTCTGTACATGCCTGGCGCCCAATATCTGTATTTTTTTGTTTATTGTTATTGATTAGTTTTCCCTCTAGTGAAATACCTTATCCACGACTGCTCTCCGATGAAAAGCTGCCGTTCGCAGTGGTAATGTTTTATAAAAAACGCTACAATTCTTTGAGTTGTATTGTTGCTTAACGTTGTTTAAAGTGGCTTACGGTATTAATTTGTATCAGTATTTTTTTGTAAGAAGTATCACGTGTTTCTGTCATCAAATACTTGTAGCCGGAATTGTACTTAAGAATATGGGAACTTTTATAAATTATAATATGTCTCTTTAAGTGCATTTTTTATTATTTAAACCTGTAAAAAACTGTGTTAAAATGATTAATAAAGAATTAAAACTATAAATACATAATGACGTTTAAGGAACTAATATGTTTTCGCCTATAGCAAGAAATTACATTTTCAATATAAACAGTTATTGAAAAGCTGTCAGAAAGCATTCAAAACTATGTTATTACACATAAAAACAGTTATTTACATTGCATATTTACATTTTAACTTGTTAAACTGCAAAATACAGATGAGACGGTAGTTTTTTTTCAATAACGCACAATTGCAACTTTAACACAGAAAAATATGATACTGTTGACGGAAAATAAAAAAAATATTCATGACACAAATTAAACACCTTAAACAACCTTAAAAACAATACAACCCAAACAATATTGTACAACATTGTAGTAATTTCACAATTAAAATAGAAGCAGTGACTTAATTCAATAAATACCATCTTAAGGTGTAGCAAAAAGTATAATTATAAATAAAAATATAATTTCATTGTTCGTGCAATAGAATTCGATTTCGTATACCTATAGTTTTCGAATAGCAAACAATCGAAAACTATATTAAACCTAAAAACACAACTTCATATATAGAATAAAGGAAAAATTTGGAATAAAGGTACAATCCACGATTTATTCAGCGATAAAGAAAAAAGGTCGAAAAGTTTCTGGCGACGGAAATTGACACGAAAGTAAATATTTGTGCAAGAAAATGAAAGGAATGAAAAATGTTGCATTTAGATTAGGAAGTAGGAACCTATTGTTGTTGAAGCTTTAATTAAAGTTTTTTTTTTCTGTTCCAAAAAGAACGGTGATGTTTTCTTTTTATTCACCCTTCGAGAAAAAAGCTGAAAAAGGTTTTAAAATGAGTTACTTTGAAATCAGAAACGAGCCCTCTGTTGTAGCTAGAATCTGGAACGAAATTCAGGAAATATGTTGGGACTTTTTTGGAAAGCTAACCATTTTCGCAAAAAAAATAAATTGGAAGATTATTATTTGTTTAATTAATTAATGAAGTTACATTCCCTTCAGGGCTTCTTCTGTGAGATATAGGATTTTTAATAAAGGTTTAAGTAAATAAAAAATAGTATAGCAAAGTGCATAGTGCTTCAAATAAAAATAATGTACTATAGTCAGGATTTTATGCTGAACTCAATTTTGCTCAGAAATATAGACGCTGCAATTTCAAAAACAACTTTGTTATTTGTTTTTTAGAGACCCTGTATACGACAATTTTTTTAAGATATGCACTTTAATAAACCATGCAACATTTGTATGAAACTTTTTCATATTTTGCATACTTTTGCTTGATTTAAATAAATAATGTTGTGATACTTTAACCTTAAAAATGTTTACCAGCAGACCTTGCAGTCGAACATTGTTCTTTTTAGAACCTCTTCTAGTGCGAAATGTACAAGATATCTTATTAGCGATAAAAAAACTCATCGCAATTTTATTAGAATATTTTGAACGGGAAAGCAGTAGCAATGGTTCTGTATATCCGTTAAGTGCTGTTGAGCAGGTGAGTTTTGTTGATGTAAATAATAACTGTTTTGTCTCCAGGGTTGTCGCAACTAACGTCGCATCCCCACGCCTAACCGCCACCTGTTACGATCAAGAACATCTTCCTCTTCCAAGTTACGGTCCTTCATTGTCCTTCTGATGGCGTCATTCCAGGATCTCCTAGGCCGTTCTCTTTTCCTTTTTCCAGGAGGTGACCAGCTGTAGATACGGTAGGGCCATCTTAGGTGTTCCATGCGTAGCAAGTGTCCAAACCACTTAAGGCCCCTCTGTTCGACTCTATCCACTATTGTCTGTGTGGCATCCATTTTGGCTCTGATTTCCACGTTCCTAATTCTGTCCAGTTTAGATACTCTTGCACTGCGTCTCAAATAGTCCATTTCGAGTGCATTCAAAGCTCGCTTTTGTTGAGCTTTTAAGGTCCAAACTTCACACCCATAAGTTACTACTGACTCCACTAGGGCTCTTCCAATATGTACTTTTATATTTGGTCTTATGTTTTTGTGTCCCACCAGATGCCATTCAGTGCTCCTATAATCTTCCGCCCTTGTTCTATTCTAGCAGATACTTCTGTTTTGTCCAGTCCCTTTCTGGTTATACGTGCCCCCAAATATTTAAACGATTTCTGTTTATATATTGATCTAACTATTCATATATTTATCATTAATTTATTTTTGTTTTCTAGAATAAACATTTTTACAAAATGGACAACAATGGTTAACGTGGAACTACCTTTTTAATCCTTATATTTTTGAATATTATGATTTACCTGGTTTAAGTATCATTATTTTAATTAATTCCAAATTTTGCTAAAAGCTAATATCGTAAGTGCAATACATGTTTACTCTATCTCTGCGTTTCGTCCACTAAAATAAAACTATCAACCTATTTCGAAAATGAAGACCAACACTGAAATTTTACTTTTATTGTTTGTCTTACTGCACATACATGCAGATTCCGTTGAACACAAGTGCTCTTATGTTTTAGAGGGCCATATTCGTCGACTTTTATATTAGGAATGATTGAATATATTTAAACTCTTCCAAGATTATATGACTGCAGACACTCGGCGCATTCGGATGAAAATTGTGCCAGAGACTACTGCACCATACCGAAAACGTGCGCTTTAAACGGTTATATTTTCTTAAACTGCAGCGTTGCTCGCCCGTTTGTCCTTGTTTTAAACTGGATATTTTCGTGTCTAAAGCCACTTTTGGAATTGCCTATTTCTGTCGGAGTGCATTTCAAACATACTAAAATCAGTAGCGGATCCAATATGTTTCAACAGGTAAAAAGAGCATAATGACTTTTATCTGAGGTACATTTTTATTAATATAAATATAAAAAAATATACCGGGTGGTGCATCGGTATTGGCTAAGTTTCCAATACCCCATACAAATTTTTAACTGTTCAAATATTGGCTCCCCAATTTAAAGATAAGTCTTAAATAGATTTTTTCAAGAACTACGTATGTAGAATACATTATTTTTTTACTAATTTTTACTAATTTAAGAGAAATTGCGTCTATTTTTATACGGGGTATCACATTATTCCGTGGATATAGAACTACTACGTGTTTCTGGAATCAAAATAGGTTTATTGGACACATATTTCCTCTATAAAATGTGCTTCGTTTATCCGCTAGAGGGCATTAAACTTAAAAAAATCTATACTGACATATAAAATCCTTAAGTGACTGACATACTGATTAATCACGATCCTGCTCAAACCACTCAACGTAAGAAGCTCAATTTTGGCATACAGGTTGATTCTAGGGTGTAGAGGTTCGATAAGAAGAAATTTTTCGAAATTCCAGTTCCAAGAGGGTGAAACCACCCATCAAATATTACAATATTTTTTATTTAAAAAACGGTCAAGTTTTCGAAAAAACGCTTAAACACGTATATTTTATTTTGTTTTTTTACATATTTTATGATTTTTTAAAAATGTATACAGGGTGGTTTGAAAAATCTGGTCATTGATTAATCACTATCCTGCTTAAAGCGCTTGACGTAAAAAGCTGATTTTTGGAAAACAGATTGACTTTAGGGTGTAGAGGTTCGATAAGAAGGGATTTTTCGAAACTCGAATTCTAAGGGGGTGAAACTATCACTCAAATATTAAAATATTTTTTATTTAAAAACCAGTGAGTTTTTCGGAAAAACTCTTAAACACGTATATTTTGTTTTGTTGTTTTACATATTTTTATAAATTTATACAGGGTGTTTCATAAAATATGACCATTGAGTAATCACGATTCTGTTTAAACTTCTTGACGTTTAAAGCTGATTTTTGGCAAACGGATTGACTGTGGGGTGTAGAGGTTCGATAAGGAGGGGTTTCTCGAATCTCAAATTCCAAGAGGGTGAAAACGACCCTCAAATATTACAATATTTGTTATTTAAAAAAAGGTTAGTCTTTCGGGAAAACGCTTGGACAAGCATAATTTATTTGTTATTTTACATAATTTGAAATTTTTTAGGATGTTCCAAAAAGTTGGGTAATTTCTTAACGACGATTCTGCTTAAACTGCTTGACGCAAAAGGCTTATTTTTGGCAAACGGATTGTTCGAAAGTCAAATTCCAACGAGATGAAACTACCCCTCAAATATTACCAAGTTATATAATAATATCGCCATATTGTTTTTTCTCATGCTGACATAAATGTGAAAATTTTTTATCCAGTTTGTATGTTAATGGAAATTCTTGCTTTGCTTTATCATCACCATTACAAATGATTAATTCGATGCGAACGAAGTGGCTGGTACACGCTAGTAGTCTATAATTTGAGTGTCTATGTTTTGCTAAGTGCTTTAACATTTTGCATTCACAAAATCCAAGAAAAAGTACGGAAAGGGTAAAAACTACCCCCACTCCTGCATAAATTTTAGTATAAATACTTTCCAACTCCACCAGCAACAGATTTCCTTTTCATAAAATGGTATAGTATTTACTATATTTATTATCTCTTGTACAAAAACCCCACATCGCATAGTTTTGCAAAAAAAAAGTTGCAGAATTTATTTTTCCAAAGCAGACCTACAAAATATACAGGGACTTTCAATATTTCGCGTACATAGAACAACTACGTATTTTTTGGATCAAAATAAGTTAATTGTAGATAATTTAACTTTATACAAAAGTGCTTCGTTAGAGGGCATCAAGCAAATATAACCACAAACTTTAATTAATTTAAAAATTATTAAGCCATGGAGAGAAAATTCAGGGATCTTCGAGGCGAAATATCTCGAAAACTACTAATTCTATGGAAAAAATTGGGGCCGTTTGTGTTACAATTTTTCCTCCTAAAACTACTCCCCAAAAGGTACACAATTCGCCTGAAAAGTCCGGATCGACGAATTAGGCCGTGGTTTCAACCTTCATTTACTGGACTATGATATTAAACCCTCTTGGTGGAATCGCCAAGTTGGATCATATTCGATTCCTGTAGTATTCTGGATCAATGGTTTGAAAGAACCTGTAAACCGATATTTTAATAAAAATCTTGTTTTTTGTCCTCACCAGGCAAAATTTTTCTTCATCAGGCAAATTATTTCTTCTTCTTTATTGACCTTACAGAGCATAACCTTAAAAAGAAACCTTAAGCAGCCTTAAAATATATTCTGATGAGTTCCTTAAGTCCTTGTTTTCAAACGGTTCGTGTTTTCAAAGGTATAATAAGAACTGATGGGTACTAAATATTGTAATCGCAAAACATTTTCCGATGCACGTCATCAATCATGTCGACATTGACATTAAAGTCTATAAACCTGACTAAATGAAATTTTGGCAAAAATGTTTAAATTTGTTCTATAATTTAAGATACCGAGCAGCTCTTCATTCTACTTTATAGAGCAAATGATTGTAACAGATATATTATTTAGATTAAAGCTACAAAAATTAGTTTAAACCAAATTTTATTATCGCTATCTTGGTCACATTGCGCCGTGTTCAGCAATGTTATCCTTTATTATTTGACAATTATCCTAGTGTCAGTCATTATTTTGTATAATATCGTGTTGTTGTTGAATCTTTGTGAGTAATTCTGGTTTTTGCCTATTTTCATAGTCTTTTTATAAAAATTGCACTTTTAACAAACAGTTCAGAAACAGAGTTTTTCTATTGCATTTCTTGAAATTATGTGTTGAAATATGCCGAAGCATTTACACACTCCAAGCAAAGAACTTGTAGGCGCCCTGTTTTTTTTTAACTATTTTGAACGAGAACGTCACAATAAATATCCTTTATTACCCTCGACTGCAGTCAGAAATGTAAATTTGATTGAAAAGCATTATAAAACATTATACCACTTTCAAAATTAGTTTTTATTAAATTTTGTGATTATTAGTTTGTGCATTAATAGCACCCTCTAGGCTTGTTATTACCACTTATGGCGTTGTAAGATGTACATCAATAAATAAATAACCCATATAATAACGCATATAATAATCTTTGTAATGGACTAGTTTTTGTCAATATGTAATAAGTAAAATAAGCTATAAAAGAAATGAATCAATTAATCAGTAAGATATTAGTTATTAAATTAAAAATAAAATGTAAAACTCTTTAAAATGATATAATAAGTATTACGTTGTTAATTTTAAACTAAGATTCATCTCATAAATCCATCAAAATCTGGCAGCGCTGTCGCCATCGCTTGTCACTCAAAGTTGTACCACACAAACATATTACCATATGTTTTAATTTTCAACGTAATAATTGACTTGTGGTCTCACAGAAGATTGTAACCTTAATCTGCTTATTCCTAAATAAGCAAATCTATGTGGCCCTAGCTTAGGATATCTAAAATCAGCTTTTAGTTATTTAGAAGGACTAAATATTTTTTAATGAGTTATATTTGACTTAAATTTATGTATTTTGTTTTAGTAGTTAGCTCCTTCAATGAAATATTTCTTCAAATTAATTGCATTATGAAGATATTTAGTGAAAATAAGGAACAATAAAACTAGTTTAACAAGCCGCACTTTGCAGTAAGTTCGAAACCAAAATACGCTGTTAATCTTTACTTAAACGGAAACTTGCTAGATAAGTTCAAAATTGGTTTACTGAACACTTTAAGGTGGCTAAAATCTTTTAGAACATTAAAAATATTGCCGAACTTTGGGTATACCCATCAGGGTTAAAGTTTGAAATCCTTTCGATCCTGAAATACCCGAGAGGGCGTTTATTCACCGATAAAATGGCGATACAAGCTCGAAGAAGCCACAACGCTGCAAAATGTTTGTTTTTTGTACTCTTTTTCCCCCAGTTGCTCTGCGCTAGTTAGGAACGAACTTTTGAAATATTCGATTTAAAGTTACCGATAATTTTCCGTAGTAAATTGTTTTATCTTTCGTTATAAATTATTTTGATAACGGC